GTCCCGCCCAGGGACAGGGTGTGCACAGGTGGACACCGGGGGAGTGGACCTTGTGCGGGGACTGAACCGGGAACCCAGTGTGAAGAGCTGCAGACGTCAACGGGAGGGGAGCCGCAGGGCCTGACCTGGCCCCACTGCAGGAACCCAGGCGAGCCTGGCTGTCCCAGCGGGCGAAGCGCACGGAGACGAGGGGCTCCCTCCCTGACCCCCGCCTGTGGCCACGGGGACTCGCCAGCCAGCCAGCCAGCCAGCCTCTCCGGGGTGGCTGTGCAGGGCCTGGGGGCTTGGCCACCACAGTGCGACCCCACCCAGTCCCTCTGGGGCCTGGGACAGGAATGCCTGCCTGGGGCAAGCTCTTCCTGCAGGGCTGAGGATGGCCTCCGGGTTCCCAGGTGCAGCCTGGGCTCTGGCAAAAGCTCACACCAAGGCCTGAGGCCCCAGCGGCTGGGAGACCCTTCCTGGGGCACCGGGCAGTCGCTCCCCCTGCAGGGGCAGTCGCTCCCCCTGCAGGGCCGGTTCCGTTTGGGTTGAGGGAGTGAGTCCTTCCCCTCAGGCTTCCTGTCCGTGGGGCCTCCTCGCCAGGTCTGATGATCGGCTTCTGCAGTCAGCCCACGGTGGAGAGCTCTGTCCCCACCCCCAGCCCCAGAGGAGCAAAGACAGAGCTGGGGGGCTTGCCGAGTGCAGCGAAGTCTGGAACTCCCAGGAGGGGCTGGGAGCCCGCGGCTCCGTCCGCTGCGCCCACAGGTGCCAAACCCCACGGCCATCCCAGAGGGCCCGAGCTGCCCGTTCCCTTTCTCTCCAGCACCACCCTGCCACACACCTGGGGAGGGACCCTCACCCTCAGGCCCAAGGGCGCTCTGCACACGGGACCTCCTCGCGCCAGGGTCCCCTATCCTAGGCCCCCGGTGCAGCTGTTGTTCCCAGCAGGAGGCCAGGAACCAGCACCAGCTGAGGACGTGCCCTGCCCCAGCCAGAGCTGCACAGCTGGGCAAGGGGGGCGGTGGGCTCGGTCTCAGGGGCAGGCTGGCGACTCCCGGCAGGGCCCCCCACCCAGGGGACGTCACCGCACCGTCACACACAAGGGTACTTTATTGAGTTCAGTTGTGGTCAGGGAAGTCTGCTTAAGCACAGGGTACAGGGGTGGGTGCTGAGGGACGGGCCCAACACAACAGCCCAGGAAGCATGGGAAGCACAGCCACAATGGATGCTGGAGGACTGGTGTCTCCTGCCATGAGCAGCTAGTGGTAGCCTCTCTGTTGCCTCATAGTATGCACTGTGTTTACTGAAAGCACCAGTGCTCCAGTGAAGAAAAGAATGATGAATATCATGGTCAGAAGGATGCCCAGGACCAGGGCCCAGATGTTCAGGCACTTGGCGGTGGAGG